AAAAAAAACATGGCGCATTTAACTGGTTTTAAAGTAATACGTTTTTCCTGGTTAGTAATAAAGATAGTTAAAGCGAGAAATCTTTTGCAGAAAAAGACTCTTGCTAAACAAAGTTGCAGAATGAGGAAAATTAAAGCTCCCTGAACACGTTAGACATGTTATTTGTCGTTCAGGCATTTTAAGGAGTTATTTAAAAAAAAATAAAAATAAAGTTAAAAGTTGTTTTTTTTTTCGGGAAAATTACCTAAAAATGTTCGAAGTAACCCTATTTGAAGGCATTTATTATCTGAGAGAATTCCTTGTTGCCATTTTAAGAGGCCTCGGAAGCAGAAGGTCACAAAAAGAATAAAATCTTATTGGATTTTTTTGAGTTTAAACGCAATTTAAAAGTTAATAAAATAAATTGTATTCTCCAGCATTTCCAAGAGGTGAACGATTTTAGAGCGTTTTCAAAAGTTGAATTCGTTCGCACGACAATTTGGAGAAATGCGGATGTTTAAGGAATTTTTTTATTCAAGTTTAAATTAGGAGCAAACTTTGAGACTCCCCCCTCACCTCCTCATTCAATCATCCTATTCATGACAAACACATTGTTTCGGTTCAAGCCGAATCGAGAGGAAAGGGTTTCGAGAAATATAAATAAAATAAGACCTGATAAAGATAAGTAAAATAAACATTTATGACTAAGTTGAGATAAACAGAAACGAAGAGAAAATGTGAACAAACGGATAGATAGCAGGATAGATAAGAGAAGCGGAGAGAGAGGGGGTAAGAGAAAAAAGCGTGAGTGGAGATTGAGAGTGGGAAGAGTAGAGAGGGGGAGAATGGAAAGAGAGAACAGCGAGGGAGAGAGGGCAGATGGGAGAGAAGAAGGGAGAGAGAAGACAGGGTGGATAGAGAGAGAGAGAGAGAGAGAGAGAGAGAGAGAGAGAGAGAGAGAGGGAGGCTGGTGTAGAGACAAAAGTCAGAGTAGAGAGAGAGGGGAAGAGAAAGAAGAACTGAAACGACTGTGAAAGGTGAGCTGAGTAAGACTGATATGAAGAGACTGCGATAAATAAAGAACAGACGAAGATAGATACAAAAAGTCAGATAGATCAGATAAATAGCCACATATATATATATATATATATATATATATATATATATAGGCACACAGACAATAGTCATGAATATATTGAGATTGTGATAGATCTAAATAAATTGATCTGTATCGACTGATATATATATATATATATATATATATATATATATATATATATATATATATATATATATATATATATATATATATAAACAGGTTTAATACAGATATAAATTTGTCACTTAGCTCATTGATGTTACCATAAGCATCCCGGCTCGAGTCTCATACACGGACACTCTTGCAATCGCTCTGTCCACTTATCAGGGGATATCAGCAATATATATATATATATATATATATATATATATATACATATATATGGTTATATATATATATATATATGTATATATATGGTTGTATGTTATATGAAAATATATATCCGATTAATATACTATTTACTACGGATGGTTTTATGTACACATTAAAACAAAACTATTATGTGTGTGTGTGTGTGTGTGTGTGTATATTACACGTATGTGCGTTTGTAATTGAAACCTATCTGTTTTTATTTCACTTTCCATCTATCCCAATCTATTTATATATATATATATATCGCAGACAGTACTGTTTCTCTAATGCCTGTTTATATCTTGCTCTATCTATACCTGTCTGTCTGTTCATCTCTCCGCCCATCTCTATCTCTTTATCTCATTCTGTTTCTCTTTCTCTCTCTCTCTCTTTATATATATATATATATATTTCTATTTATCTCTCTCTTTAGATGTGTCTCTGTTTATCTCAGTCTCTTTCACCCCCCGCCATCTATCTCTTTTCTATCTATCTCTGTTAATGTTTCGCTCTATTTATCTCAGTCTGTTTTTCCTCTTTCGATCTATCTATCTATCTATCTATCTATCTATCTATCTATCTATCTATCTATATGGACAAATAAATGTAGGCATTTACACGTTCGCATAAACATCGATCAAGATAATTCAATAGCAAATGTTGCACGAATGTGCGTGCCCATAAAACACACACCACAAGCATGTCCATATATATATATATATATATATATATATATATATATATATATATATGCATAAAGATGAGAGAGTGACGGGGAGAGTAAACGCGTGAGTGAATGAAATGCTAAAATTTACGTATGTGATTTTTGCTTTTTTTTTTCGCTTTTCTGAAAAGCTTTTTCATTTTTAAAATTGTCCGTACGACATGTCATGGCCGTGACTGAAGACATGAAAATTCTCATATGAACGCGCGCATGAACGAATTCAGAACCATATTGAAGACTTTACTTATTTTTTTTTCTTCGTTCTCTTCAGTATTCTCATCCGGGTGCGTCGTTGAAATGGTAGGGGTTGTCGAATAGGGTGTGGGTTGGACCAGCCACGAACATTTACCTACCAATATGGCTTACACAATGGTCGCCATATTGGAGCTCTCTATTGTCAAGAGGTCTATAAATCAACATGTACAAAAAATATCTTTTCAATCGATATAGCTATTTTCTTTTCTTTTTTTTTTTTAAAGAAAAATTGGTGAATGATTCCCTGCGAGAGGGGGTGGTCATAAAGATGAACATTTTCAGGATTTTTAACAATGAATAAAAACGAAAAAAACTAATATTTAATTCTTTTTTTTTTACCTTGTTGAATTGTAAATGGAGAAAAAAAAAACTCATTTTAATAATTATTGGTATTCAGAAAGAGTTAGTGTCTGTGAAAACATTGCTTTTTCCTTCAAATCTCTAACCCTTTTGCACTTAATAATAAAACGATGTCTTCTGATGCACGGTAAATACTTGAATAATCTTTTAATTCAGCAAGATTTTTGCATTTTGTGGCTGGGTTAATCTCAGGTAAATCGAGTTCCTTTGAATTTGGAATAAAGATCAAATTATTTTTTATTGTTCAATTTGGATTACTTGTGGGGATCGTAATGTAAACAGCTATAACATAAGAACTCAAATACACAACTACTTAACTACAACAGCGAATGTCAAACGGATACAAAATATCCATCACAAATAATTTAATAGAACCTACTTAATATCCTCTATATTCACAATATTTCTTAACGAAAAACATAAAACGGACACTAATTAGTAATAATTTCCCTACCCACATAATTAATAAACAAATTAAACTAACCTTGAAAAAAAATAAAAATAAAACAAATAAATAAATCGTTGCAGTCACATTTGGTCCGGTGCTCCTGTTATTTATTTAATGATTATTGATAAAATCTAAAGGAGAATCTGCCATATTATTGAACCTGATCAGGCATCTCGGCTTTAGTCACTTTCCCATTTGCTTCTCTGTAACGTTTTTCTATAAATATTTTCATGGTAATTTTTCCGATGAACTCTTCGCTATGGTATGATATTAGAACTTCATAGAGATATTAAAGTGATTGTACTAAGACTGTCAAGTAAGAATGTGTTGTTTTGGTGTAAGGAATATTGTGGTATGTTTACATCATTGTTTGTGGCTAGCTAATGTTAAAACAGAAGACTGTCCTTTTCTCCATTTTCCTTTTTGGCCTTGTGCCACATTTTTGTACATAATGCAGAATAATTATCACTCTTCGCTATGGTACGTAGACTTTATGAATTTAAGCACAGTACTAGATTGGCAACAAGGTCTCATCAATTTACAATTGAACTGGTGAGAGTTCTATGCTAACAGTTTCTTTTCTCGCACTTCTCGTTTGTGGTATCCTCTTCCGGTTTCCAACCAATTTTGATCTTCAAAAATTTAAATGCAATGTCAATTCTTATCTCACTGTTTTCATGATGACTCTTCTATTGTCCCCGCTTATTCATAATATTTTCTATTTTCAAATTCTTTCACACCCAGTAACCATTTGTGTCTTAGTGGCTTTACTACCTTGCTTGGGGTGAATACAGTAACCACATACGAGTCGGAAAAAATATAATAGTACTAATAATAATGGTAAATCGAAATTTTGCCATAAATTTCTCAGTAGGTAACTCGAGCTATAATATTCAATACGCGTAAATCGTAAAAGTTCAATTTGCTTATCTTATATATTTTATTTCCCCAGGAAAAATCCCATTCCTGGGGAAATAAAATATAATCTATGGACCCTTAAGATTGTCTGTTTTTTTTTTTTTTTTTTTTTTTAATTTAACTAATTTTCTGTTTTTACATTGAGCTCTCTGGATTACATCCTCATCGGGATTATCTGAACGGATTGCCAAACATTTCATTACTTAACTATATATATATATATATATATATATATATATATATATATATATATATATATATATACTGAACTCTCATGTTTTTTCGACGCATGAGGGTCAAGCAGCTCAGTTCTTTGGCCAACAGGCAGAACTAACTTGTGCAGAACCAAACAACTTTTTGGAAGAGCCGAAATTTTGCATAATTGACCCTCGGCGGATTATGAACTTAGAGATACTTTTTCATTTATTAATGTAATTATTATCTATTATTTTATTTTAATTTGATAAATTATTTATGTATTTATTTATTTTAAATAATAGATGATTTTCATTTAAGCGTTTTCTTTTTAGTTCTAAAAATTTGTTATGGTCATGTATGTTGGCTTTTAAGAAAAGAAATATTTGAAAAAAAATCCTTCGCGCACATTTACATTTTGGTAAGATTTGATAGCGGCCTTTTTAAGAATTGTCACTCCAAGTTGTTTTCTCTTTTAATAAGTGTGACAAACTTTAAATGAAAGATGTGAATCAAGTTATTTCTGTATAAGACTAATGTATTTGATAAATTGTTATGTGGCCGAGACCCGGGTTCGAATCTCACCATGGTTGATTTATCAGGAATGAGACTTCCTGATGTTATCGAAACATTCCACTGAAAGCCATACTAGACCCTGTGAGTGAAATTGGGTAGACTAGCTGTGCTAGAACGAAGTCACAAGTCATCGTGACTGAGGGTTTGAACGTACCGGTCGTGTTCAATCTGTTGAACAAGCTAGAAAACACACTCTTTCCCAGAAACTGTAACTGAGGTCTGCTCAGCATAGTTGCAATATAAACCACAGGTTGGCTTTGTGGGTGTTGAATAAACACAAATGCGCCTGAGCAAGCGCCTGCAATAGGGATTGGCTAGCCGCCATAGTAGACGGGTATTCCTCGAATACGAGTGGCCAACTATACAAACATGTGTAAGATACTTTTTGTGTTCATATATACGCATTTCTTAACGTCTGCAAGTTTCACCAATATATTGTAAGTAACAGTTGTGACAGTTTAATTTATATATATCTGCTTCAGAATTATTATTATGGACATTATTTGTTCTGATTCTACATATAATAGTTTTGGATGTGGTCGAAATTATTTTGACCTTGTTAAGATTGGATACATTGCTTTAGTAGATGTTAAGGAGTTAGTAGGTAGTAGTATTATAGGTCTGTTTTTATCTAGTTAATTCTCATTGTTGTTTTTTGCTAATAATGCCATTATATATATTTTTAATTATTTAGATCTTTCAGACTGTTGTCCTCATCTTTATTGTCAAATACACGACGTTGCGGCCGTTGTACGCTCCGGCCTTCTTCAGGTGATTAAAATTTCAAAGAGTTCCATATTATATATATATATATATATTCTTTTGTATACATTAACACGCCGATGAACAAAATAAAAATAATAATAACAATAATAAAAATAATAATAACAATAATAATAAATATGGCAACAAAGATGAGGACAATAGTCCGAATAATGTAAATAGTGTACATAATACCGCATCTCAGAAATATAGACAGATACTGAAAGGCCGAAACGTTGTGATCAATATGGCGACAAAGATGAGGACAATAGTCCGAATAATGTAAATAGTGTAGATAATACCTCATCTCAGAAATATAGACAGATACTAAAAGGCCGAAACGTTGTGATAAATATGGCGGCAAAGATGAGGACAATAGTCCGAATAATGTAAATAGGGGTAGATTGTTCTTGTTTCACGTGCCATGCCTCTTCCGGATGTCTCAGTTATCTCCCTTTAACTCAACTCTCCAATTTTTTTTCTTTTTTTTTTTTTGATCAGCACTGCCGTAGCTAGGTATTGAACTCACAGCTCTTTGGGTCAAGTCACTGGATCCAAATAGAAGGCCGAAGCGTACAACGGCTGAAATGTCGTAAATAGGACAATAAAGATGAGTACAACAGTCCGAACAATGTAAATATAATTACAATACCTCATCTCAGAAATATGGACAGATATTCTTTATGGTTGTATATTTTGTATGACAAAGTAGAAGAAAGTTTCGTGCGATAGGTTTCGTTCTTTAGAACTTACTCAGTCTAAAGTAATGTTTACACTGATGTTGAGAATTTAAATTAAAAAAATATATATTTTGGATATATAGTCTAACTGACTTCATCTAATTTCTTTTCCTTTTTGTCTGTTTGTACCACTTTTGTTATTAAGTATCCGACATTGTGGTGATAGAAGACCCGCCAAGAAAGAGGAAACGTTGTAAGACCCTGATCGCAAATTAACTACAGGTGGTCTAGCGATTAAAGCTCTTTTTATACCTTTTCGTCTTAGTAATTTGCTTTCTCTTTTAATTAGAGTAGCATCTTTAAACCAAAATTATGATCAGACTCATTATGGTGAGCAAGCTTGCATTAAGTGTATTGTTTTGTAAAAAACCCCTTTTGTGTTCATATAATTTTTATTTAAATTCCTTGAGGTTTCTCCGATCTATTCCTTGTGGCAATCAGTGAATTGAGTAAATGTCTCCTTCAAGTGTTAGCTTATTATTTTGTTTTGTATTAAGACTTTTAGTGTTTTAGAAGTGATTGTAACAAATTTAATGTTAAACTTAGATGAATTCTTTTCACTTGTAGTTGTGATAGAATTGATGGGTAGAACAATATATTTTGATTCGTTGTTTTTTTTCAGGAAAAACTGCTTTTCTATTTTGAAATATTTTATGAGCATTTTCTTTCGCATTGAATATGAAATAATTAGG